TCAGCGCCAGAATAACTGCTACTGGCGTTATTACAAACGCCTTAGACATACAATCTGTGGAAAAAAAAAGCAGCAGGTTGCCACTTTCTTAAACATGTGAAACCTAGGGCACAGAAAATAAGCTAGTGTTTTAAGCTCCAACATCAATCTAGTGTGCATCACAGGGGCTTTTTCATCACCTGCAGTTTACATCTTCTGGACCAGTTGCAAAGTCCATTTGTTCATGCCCATAGCTATCCAAAAAACATACACAATGCATAAGCTTTGAGGATTCTCTTGATGGTTGGTTGCCTCTATTGTGCCACTTCATTGAATTTTTTTAGTGAAATACAGGAATATGAAACAGAAAATACAGCCTGACATGCCTAGACATCTAAGAAAACCAGAAAACAAAAGTTTAGTGTGAAAATGTTCACCGGTGCCTAAACTTGTTGCTATACACATGCTGTCTTTTCTGAATTGACTGTGTATTGCCTTATCCACACTTATCTGCAACCTAAAATTCAGGCATCCCTGACCTTCATCCTCATGAGGAACTCAAATTGCTAGCCATGTTCCCAGCTCAGAATTGAGTTGCAGAAAAATGTGGCAAATAGTGGTGGTACGGACCTTTTAAAGAAACTGACTTCTTATGAAAGAAGTTGCTTGGGAAGGCAAACCCTGACTCTACCTGTTACATTAGCAGCTAGGTAGAGCATTTAAGCTCTGGTACAAGTTATTGTTTCCTCACATAGTGAAAGTTCTTACTTCTCTATTCAGTGATTTTCCACCTGAAACATACAACTAGGCTAGGAAAAACGGACCTAAGCTTTGTAAACTATCCTTGATTTGATGTGTGTGTGTTAAAATCCTTGGGTTGGACAAGTCGACCTCCAGAGGTCCCTCTCAACCTAAACTATTCAGTTATTCTGTAATCCTCTGAGGCTGAGATATACCTAGAAGCCAGATCTCCCTTTCTCGAGGCAAATGTTCAAACTACCACACTACTGTGCAAAAAGTGAGCAGTAGCACGACCTCATCACTGTTTCTGGAGGAGAGAGCCCAGTATTTACTCCCAGACAGGTTTTCAAGCACTTAGCCTCTGAGGTATCTACCTCTGTTTTCAAGACCAGCTATTTTCTGAGCATGGTGTAGTTTGCATTACTAGTAATCCTCAAAGAATCTCACTGTTGAGTTTCTCCTTGAACCTAAGCCTTTCTGCATTCATAAGGACCTTCACAAATAATCACAGAATCACAGAATCACAGAATAGTAGGGGTTGGAAGGGACCTCTGTGGGTCATCCAGTCCAACCCCCCT